TGCGAACTACAACTCCCGGCATGCCCCGCGGCTCTCGAAATGCTCTCTTCTGAYTGGATATTCTGCTCGGTGACGTCAAGAGCCCATGTGGGAGAGGCGCGCGGTGATTGGTTGGTGCCTCGCGCAGCGGGGCCAATGGCAGGCTCGGTCGCCTGGCTGCGGCCCGGGCGGCGGTTTAAGGTGGCCCGGGGCGCCGCGGCGGGGCCGGGATGTCCCGGCGGGCYCGGTCGCAGCCCCGGGCCGGTGCCCGCGGCGGGGCCGGCTCGTCCGGCCGGGACAAAGCGCCCCCGTGCTCGGCCTCTCCCGTTCGGCCTCGGCCTCACGAGCGGCCCCTGCGGCCGGTGCCCCGGGCGCCGTCGGGGCGGCCCCGCGCCGCCGCCTCCCCCGGGGCCACGGGAAGCCCGGGGCTCCGCAAGGCTGCCGGGGGCGCTGCCCTGCCCGGGCGCCCTGCCCGGTGTTCCCTCTAGTCTCCCTGTGGTCCCGCGGGTGCCGCTCCTCGCTGCCCTGCCCGTTCCCGGCTCCTGTCGGGCTCCGTCTCCCCGCTTCGCTCTGCCCGTTCCCGGTGTCGCCGTCCTCGCTGCCTTGCTCGGTTCCTTCTTGCCGGTCCCGCTGCACATCCCGGTTCTCGCTCCCGTCCCCGCTCCCTTTGGGGTCCCGCTGCCCTCTGCCCGCTGCTCTGCCCGATTCCCTCTCCCCGGTCACCGCCGCCCGGTGCCGATGCCCCTCCCGGTTCTCCCTCCGCCGTGCCCGGTGCCGCGGCCGCCGGGTCCTGCGGGAAGGATCCACCTTAAGCGGCTCCGGGGGACTGCGGTGGTGCCGGGCCGGGCCGGGCCGGGCCAGCGGGCGGCCCCGCGCGCGCCGCCGCTCCGGGCCGAGCCCCATGGGCAGCGCGCGGGGCCGGCGCCGCCGTCGGGGAGCCCCGCGCGCCCGGCGGCCCCGCAGCGCCGCGCCGCTCCGCGCGCCGAGCCCGCAGCATGTTCCCGCAGGGCCGGCACCCGGTGGGTACCGGGGCCGCCGCGGCGCCCGCGCCGCTCGGGACCGCCGAGCCCTCAGCAGCGTTTTGCCCCCAGGCTCCCGGGCAGCCCTTCAAGTTCTCGGTGCTGGAGATCTGCGACCGCATCAAGGAGGAATTCCAGTTCCTGCAGGCGCAGTACCACAGGTGCGGGCGACGGGAACGGGGCTCCCGTTCCGGCGCGGGGCTACGGAGCAGCCGCGGGGCGCAGGGACCTCGGAAGGGGGTGACCCGCTCCGGGGTGCGGGGAAAGGAGGTGCCCGCGCGGGAGGACGAGTCGAAGCGAGCGCTGCGTTAGGGGCAGGGTGTGCGGGGTGGTTCCGAAGGGGCGACGAAGCGCCCGGGAGAAGGTCCGGCCGGAGGGGTCGAGCCAGGCTGCGGCCTGGGGCCGGGTCTCGCGGGGTCCCTGGGTCTCATCCCCGCGCTCCGGGTTCCTCCAGGGGCTCCGCGGCCACAGCGGGGGCTCTCGGGCAGTGATGAGGAGGAAGGCGGGGGAAGAGCTGAGCTCCGTGGGGCTGCGGGTGTGGGGCAGCGAGGACGGGGCTCCCCGAGCCAAACCRCCGACCCCCAATCCCCTCTGCAGCCTGAAGCTGGAGTGCGAGAAGCTGGTGAGCGAGAAGACGGAGATGCAGAGACACTATGTCATGGTGAGCGTGCCCGGACCGGTCCCGGGCAGCGAGCCGGGCCGGAGCCTGCCGGGGAAGCGGCCAAGTGGCTCAGGAAGGAGTTAATGTTCAGTTCCCCCCTGGCAACGGCAGCTCCCAGCCGGAGTCTTGTGCTCGGTGCTCTCTGAGCCYGGGCATCGCCGCACGTCTCTTCTGCTCCATTCTCTTTTGCTCTTTCTCTTCGGCCTCTTAAAGATGAAAGTCTCTGTCCTCCTCCCTGCCCCTCACCCGGGAGAGCACGGCTTGGAACCGGCGCCCTGGGGCTGGTGCTTTGGGTGGGAGAGGAAGGTGCTGCTAAAGAGAGCGGTGCTGATGGTGCGGAAGGTGAAGGTGCTGGTGGTGCTGATGGTGCTGAAAGTGCTTGTAGAGCTTGTGGTGCTGATGCTGCTGAAGGTGCAGAAGGTGCTGGTGGAGCTGAAGGTGCTGTGTTAATGCTGTTAATGGCCCGCAGTCCATCGGGCAGAGCAGGAGCAGCGCTGCTGGCAGGACCCTGGGGAGATGGGAACTGGGGTAACGTTACCCCCCCTTCAACACCTGGTGTTACCAGCCTGTCTGGGGGAAGGGGGAAACGCGGATTGTTCCCCCTCCCGATGGCAAACAGGCTGGCAGCCGTGTTCCCGAGCCCGGGGGTGTTCCTGTCACCTCCTGGGCTGGGATCCCTTTCCGGCTCCCTGGAGAGGGATGAGCTCTCTGGGACAGGCCCTTGCTGCAGGAAATGGGTCCTTGGCCCCGGGGGCGGCTTTAGACTCTCCTCCTGCAGCCCCTTCCTGGGGGAGGTGGCAGAGGGCTCTGCCTGTCACCGCTGCCCGCTTGCAGCTGGCTCCGCTGGCGGGGACTGAAAGGGGAGCCTTTAATGTCCCCTTTCTATCTGCTGGGCCCGACCACGCGGGTAGCAGCAGTCTCYGCTAGAAGAGGTTTTACAGAGGAGCAGGGATGGGCTTGGGATGTTCAGCCTGGCTGTGCTGGTCCTGACGAGGCTGCRCTGTGCTTTCCCTTTCAGTATTATGAAATGTCCTATGGGCTGAATATTGAAATGCACAAGCAGGTGAGTGAGCTGGGGTCTGCAGCGGCCGCACGGGGAGAGACTCGTGTTGGGACCATGTCCCGTGTCCCTGTTAGCAGTGCAGGGGACCCAGCAGGGCTGTTGTGGGGAATCCCTGAGCAGTTGTCAGGATGTGGGGTACGGAACTCGGGCAGCACCTCCTCCTTGATCCCAAGCCACCAAAGCCCGGCCTTGCCCCTGCAGCCTCTGTGCGATCCCTGCCAGCAGCAGGTCCCGAGGGCCCCAGGCTCAAGGCTGACTGTACAGGAGACAGAGGGAGCGCAGAGGCAAATGCCTTCCCTTCCC